GCATGATTATTTAATTATGTTGAAAGTTATTTTTTTTTTCACTTGAATAAAGATTTATTGCACTAAAGCTGTTAACAATGACCTTACCGCTACAGCTGTAACAGTAAGGTACCCTGATATTGTTAATATCTATAAGAACAGGGTTTTATGTACATAAGTAGTATTTTCTTATATTTTATATTAGTAATAGTACAATTAAATACAATGTTCAATAATAATATGACATACTAATCCGAAATTAATTATCTATTGTTTTTTTTTATAATTAAATACAATGTTCAATAATAATATGATACACTAATCCGAAATTAATTATCTACTGTCATCTCGTTTATCAATTGCATGATTTAAATGTGTGGAATATCGATTTTCTTGATCGGATGTTTTACTTTGTTTAAAGGTGAGAGCATGCTTTTTAATGGATATTTATTGTGGAATTTGCCGATTTTATATCTTTATACTTGGATTTCAAACTTATTAGGTGAGTAATTTATTTATGTATATAGTTAAGATATCTGTCTGCTTGAGAATATCATAAAAATGTTTTGTTTTTTTTGAAGAAAACAAATTTCTGTTCTTTAGATTAAATTTCGAAACACTCGGACTGTGGTGTATTCTTTGTCTAGATTGTATGATCTAACGTATTCGTCAAATTCGGATTTAAAGAGAATGAATACATTAGTAGATTTATTTCTTTGGTTTGATACATAGTACGATTTGTAGATTGCAAATCCTATAATTGTCAGAATTATATTGAATCCGATATACTGGCTATCTGTTATTTTGTAGCCTATAACTACATCTTTTAAGTTGATTTTTTTATTAAAATTCATTTGAGATAAAATTTTATTTATAATTTCCCAAAATTCTTTTAGAAATTTACATTCAATAAAAAAGTGATGATACGTGTCTTTAAGTTGACAAAGTTGACAATATGGGCTACATTCGATTTTCCATTTGTAGAGATTTTATCTATTTGGGAGAATGCAGCTTATAAATTTCCATCTAAACATTTAAAGTTAATTCAGATTTAAATGTTGGTGTATAAATTTAAACGTATATTTGGTGAAATTGTAATTTATTTCTAGTTCTTTTTTCCAGTTATTTATGTCAATGTTTGGAGAATTTTTTTGTCGAACGAGGTATTGATATGCCTTTTTGTTGCTTAAATTTTCAATTTCAATGTTTTCTTTGTTTATATTGATAAATAGTCTGTTAAAATTTACATTTGATTTGATGGATTCTTTCGTGGCTAAAACTTTTAGCCATGAGGTTGGTATTGCTTTTTTGACAATCGAAATTTCTGAAATCCAATTTTTAGTATTTTGCAGTTTTTTAAATATTTTTTCGTGGGCAATTTTTCCATTGTCGTCAATAATATCATTAAGATAAATGAAATCAATGTGTATCCAATTATGCATAATAAGCGGCTTGTTTTGAAATTTGATAAATTTATTACCCCAGATAACTTGCCTTCTTATCTCGACAAAGTTTTTCAGTTCTGTGTTTTTCGTTTCATGAATTAAAATCCAACTTTTTATTATATCTAAGTAAAAATCTGGAATCTATAGTTATATCTATTTTTATTAAGGTTTGGTTATTTAAGTTCATTCTAAAAATAAGGAAATGTTCCCCTAATTTATTTAAAAATAGCTTTGGGATCAATGTCCAATTTTCTTGTTTTGCCTGTAGCAACCTCGAGACCCATCTTATCTTAAGAGAGGAGAGTAGCTTTTTATGTCGATCATATTTAGCCCTCCCTAGTTGTAATCTGCTACCAATGTATATCTTTTAATTTTATCTTTTTTACCATCCCATATAAAACTAACGATTTCTCTTTCTAGTTCAAGTATATTTGAGTTACTTAAAACTGTAACGTTCGCTAAAAAAGTAAATTGTGGTATATTGAGGGTTTTAACTATTAGAATTTTACCTAAAATTGTTAAGTTTCTTTTTTTCCACGATGTAATTAAATTTCGACTCTTTTCATATCTAGTATCCCAATTCAATTTTTCACAATCTCTTTTATTAATGCCGAAATATTCCTAACTCTTTTACGGATTTATCCGTGAAATTTATTTCATCTACTTCATCCCTACAATGTTTGAGTTTACCAATCCAGATTCCTTCTGTTTTTTTTTATTTAGTTGTAGTCCGGAAAAAGTTCCAAAAATTTCGATTATATTTAATGCTGTTCAGATTTCTTCTTTAGATTTGAGGAATAGAGTTGTATCATCAGCAACTTGCGTGATTTTCAAGCTATGTGTTTTACTATCAATTTTTAATGCTATGCATCTTATATTTTTGTTTTGCCTTAGTTGGTTGGCCATTATTTCTACTGACATTACAAAAAGTAGAGAAGAGTACGGCATGCCTGCCGGATACCTCTAAGGGGTCCAAAAGGGGCAGATATCCACCCGTTATTAAATATCGAGCTATTTATATTTGTATACAAGGTTCTTATCCAATTTATGAAGGGTTTATTAAAACCAAAATATTCTAAAGTATGATACATAAAATTCCATTCTAATGTGTCGAAAGCTTTCGAAAAATCTATGAATAAAATAGCACCTTCTATATTGAACTTATCTGCGTAATCTATTACATCTTGTATTTGGCGTAGATTAAAACCTATGAATCTGTTCTTGATGTATCCTATTTGATCAGCATTAATGATTAGAGTTAGGATTTTTTTTATTCTTAAAGCTAAAGTGTAGGAGAGTATTTTATAATCACTATTTAATATTGATATTGGTGTGTAGTTTGTGAGTTCCAACGGATCATTTTTTTATAAATTAGATTCAGTAAACTTTGTCTTTGCGTAAATGGCAGTTGTTTATTTTCAAAGCTAAAGTTAAAAATTTTTACAAGTAGAGGTCCAAGAAGTCCCCAAAATTTTATATAAAAGTGAATGCTTATCCCGTCCATTCCTGGACTTTTGTTTAATTTTAGATTATTGACTGCAATAGGTAATTCTTCTAGCGTTACGTATACGTCACAAGATTTACTTTCTTCTTCTGATAATTTATAATTGCGTTTTGTTTCAGTAATGTATTTTTGAACATCTATATCCGGTTTTTGTTTAGTGTCGTATAAATTAGCATAAAAATCCCTCTCAAGCTTTAATATTTTATCTTGATCTGTTACTATTTCCCCAATATTGTTTTTCAGTTTAAATATCGTCTTTTTCGTTTGTTTAGATTTTTCAAGACCTAGAAAATACGCGTTATTTTTTTCTCCTTTATCTACCCACTCTTGTTTTGATCTTATTTGAACTCCTTTAGCTTTGTATTCATATTGGTTTTCTAGCTCTTTTTCTAATGTGGATATTTTTTCTTTTATAAAATCATTTTCCTCATTATTTGATTTCTCATATAATATTTTTAGTTGTGATTCTAAATTACGTGTTACATTTTTCCTATTTTTTGCTTTAATTTTACTATACTTAATACTATATTCCTTTATTTCCAATTTGAAGGAGTCCCACAAAAGTCTTGGATCTATTTCATTTTTTTCTATCTTATTACTATGTTTTTATATTATTTTACTTATATTGCATTCATAATCTTGCTCGTCGAGGATACCGTTATTGATTTTCCAGTAACCCGGGCCTCTAGTTTCAGTTGAGACAGATTGTAATTGTATGGAAACTGCTTGGTGGTCAGTGCTTTTAATAAGAATACATTGTTTGTAGGCCTAATATCACACGACTTAACGTTTAACATGAAATCTTTTTTGACTAGGAACATGTCAATTCGACTAGACTGGACTGGATTTTTACGTCTCCATGTATATTGGATCTTTTGGGGGTTAACGTGTCTCCATATATCTATTAAGTCATTTGATGTTATTAAATTTTTTAGGCTATTGACTGGTTTACTAACTTTTTTACGAGTATTTGAATTTTTCCTATCTACATTTTTAAGGGCATCATTCATGTCTCCTCCTAAAATTATTGTACCTATTGCGTTTTTGTTTATAAAGTCATTTAATTTTTTGAAAAGCTATTTCGTTCAGATTCTATATTTGGGGCATATATGTTTATAAGAGAATAGATTATATTTTCAAATTCGATATTTATCATGATTATTCGACCTTCTAAATCTTTATGCTCATCTATTAATTTATAGTCTAATTTTTTATTAATTAATATAGCTACCCCTTTGCTTGATGTCGTCCCATGGCTAAAATAAAAAGAATGATCTGATTCAATAGTTAGAACGTTTTCTAGAGATGTATTGAAGTGAGTTTCTTGAATAAAAGATATTTTACATTTCTGATTTTTTATCCATTGGTAAAATCTCGATCTCTTTTGTTTATCTCGAAGTCATTTAACATTAGCTGTACAAATGTGCAGGTTATTTAACATGTTTTAATTAAAAAAAATAAGTAACTTAAAGTTGATTTTTATGTTTATTTTAATTAGTGAGTATACTTTATGTTTGGGTCGCGTTTTTAAAGTACACTTTATTTCATCCACATTTAATCGTCGTTTATAGCGTGGGAGTTACCTGTGAACATGATTACGTTTATCAATATCAATTTTCTTTTGTGTAATTGGATTGCAACAATATTGTTATAGTCTGTTTCACGAATGAATTTGTCCAATATTGAGATGATAATTTTGAAACATATAATATATGTTCATAGCAATTACTGCATACCTGAAATACAAATCACACAACATATACATAGAACTATTAATAAAATTACAAATTGTCACATTTTTTTGCTTTGTGCAAATTAAAACAAATGTATGGTTTTGACTGAGAAAAACTAATATACTTTCTCTAATTTTCTCAGCTAGTAATGTGGTTATATTTTCAAATATTTCGAAATCTGATGAAACGGATCTGTTTGTGTGAGACAGTGAAGTTTTGTTAAAAGTAGGGACCCCTATTTTTTTATTATATTATCATAGTTACAATTTCAATACAGTTGTTTAGGTGGTTTACGGTATCATATGTATCCTGCGAGATGCATCGGGCTTTATCATTATATTGCTGATAAGCCGACATACCACATGTAAAATAAATATTATTAAAATGTATTTATAATTCTTTATTCTTTCCCAGGTAAGAAGTTTAATTTTATTATATTTTCATTTTAAAGAAAGTTATAATTTCTTCTAAACTTTTTGGATATTTTTGAATCTTTAGTTAATTGATTAATTGATTAATTTAACTGATTACATCTTTGTTTGTTTTTATTGATTTAATAATGATGTTCACTATTATTTTAAACATATATCTTTTAAAGCGTTAAGTATTTACAATTCCCCAGTTTAAACTATCGGTAGAAAGTATTAGTTTTGTTGATTAGTGTATTATTGTTTATCTCATGAAATGTATGGGAATGTACGAATAACACGTGTCTTCAGAGAACAAAGGAATTCACGTGATACCTCGATATAGAGCTGTGCTCTAGTAGAAAATACATTGAATGCTTTATTACATTTATATCTTTGTTATAAGATTAGTTTTTATATATTTTTATGTAGCCCTATACCCGTTAATTAGTTATTATTTTGTATTATTTTCTTATCTCATTTTTCCCTTATTGACCCTCACGTTCATTACGAATTGGTATCAATGAAGAGTTTCCAAGATAAATATAGATTACCGTAAATGTTCTAATGTACGTCCTGAGAAATAAAAACATCTTTGATTTAAGGAAATACACATATTGTTTTATGAAAAGAAAGATTAGTTAATTAGATAAATGTCATGACAAGTTATTTAAATTAATTAATGAAGTTCGTTCAATGCGTAAAAGGTATTTTAAGACCCATTAAAGTGAATACTTAAGTTCAATTGACTCCTAGACATAACAGAGTTTAAGAAATGTATTAAGTAAATTATTCATCAGGTACAATCATATGGTTATTAATTATGTCAGATATTATGTTATTTGTAAAACCTATGAACAGTATGTTAATTCTTAATCATTATATTGCTGATAAGCCGACATACCACATGTAAAATAAATATTATGAAAATGTATTTATAATTCTTTATTCTTTCCCTGGTACCAACCAGACCCGGGTAACATTTGTTTTTGATGTTTTGTTTTTCATAACATTTTTACATTGTTTATTTGCTTTTTGAATAATATTTTCCTTTTCTCTATTTTCAACTACTTTATCATGTTTATAGGATTTATGCTGTGAAGATGTACTAAGAATAGTTATTAAGGTGAGTAAATCTTTACTTTTGATTTGATCTTGTTGAGTACGTCTACTATAGATTAAAGTTGTAAACCTAAAGGGTTTTAAATAGAAAAAAGACTGGTTAAATTTTCTAATATAAGTGTTTTTATCTCTGTCAATTTATGTTTTTGGTATTATCAAATATACTTCTGTTAATAGTATCATATACATGAAAATATATGGTATAATGCAATATGTGCAAAATTTCACTTTTCTTTTTTTTTTATACTTACTCTTGTTACATTTGTTTTGGAATCTTTATTCCATTCAATTATCTTTCTATAAATACTAAATACACACAAACATAAATACAAGGAGAGACAAGATATATAAACATACATATTTTTTTTTTTTTTTTTTTTTTTTTTTTTTTGTTATATACAGTCCGCCCAAAAGTTAAACACCACCTAAATAAAACTGGCAATATTTTTCTAACTATTGCGAAAAAAATATTTATGTTTGGTGTTATGAATTGCCTATAACATACACTAAGAAAATTCATTACGACAAAAAAAAAGTAAACTCCGATTAACACGCCAAGCAATTTTTTATTAAAGGTCATCTGCACTTTTTCGAATACACTGTTTCGATGCCTTTAAATCATCTTCGTACTGTCCCGCGTACAGGTGAAATTTGACCTTCACCAAGTCACTGTGAAATATGACAAGGGATAAGTTATATGTGACTGAACCTTGACAAGCAATTGACATGTCAAATGCCGGTAGGAGCACTAGTTGCATAGGTAACCATTTCAATGTTAAACACACCGTCATTGTCAGATTTTTACAACGTCATGTTGACACAGGAACTGTAAATGATAAACCAAGGTCCGGAAGACCCCGTTTAACTACCGATCGTGATGACAGACTCCTTATTGGTTGTGCTAAAGCCAACTCATTTATTCCTGCACCACAACTTAGACACCACTGGCGTCAAGGTGGTCATGTTAGTGTTCGAACATTGGTCCGTCGACTTCATAGAGGCTACCTAAGAGCACGTCGTGTTGTCAAGAGACCTGCCCTAACAGCCAGGCACCGTATAATCGGGTTTCAAAGGGCTAATGACCATCGACGCTGGAACATGAGAAGCTGGCAAAATGTTCATTGGTCAAATGAGAGTCAGTTTCTGTTACGACCAATAGACGGCAGAATACGAGTTTGTCGTGGAAATAAAACTGCTAATGACCAAAACAACATTTGCCCATCGACTGCATACGTTGCTGGTGGTGTTACAGTATGGGGTTTCTTCTCATACTGTTGTAAGGTGGGTATGCATATTCTGCTGGGTAACATAAACGGACAGACATACAGGGATTTGGTGCTTAGAAACATTGTAGTCCCTCATTTTGATAATCCTCCACTTGCTTCAAGACCCTTGTGCATGTACGACAATGCCAGACTACACAGGGCAAGGATTGTAACCGAGTACAAAGAGTACAAATAGCAAGAAACCATTGACACTATCTTTTGTCCTTCCATGTCTCTAGACATGAACCCTATCGAACATGTCTTGGATGCCATTGGCAGAAATCTGAATCGCAGAGATCCACTTTTGCAAAATCTTAGCGATTTAAGAAGCGCAATTGTTGCTGAATGGAATAAATTTGTTCAACTAAAGTTCAGAAGGCTTGTACAGAGTATGAGACTCCGTGCTATGGAACTGTACCGGAAGAGAGGGTGTTACACATCCTAGTGACTCAAATATTGACATTAAATTAGCCGAACATACCAAAGATTATTTGTAAAGACTTTTAATGATATTGGGTGATTAATTGTTGTAAAAAAATAAAATCACAGTGAAACTTAAATTCCGTTTCTGATTTGTGTAATTTTCACTATTTCTATGAACGCAAATTTCAAATGCATAGAACCTGCATACGTGAACAAACTTAAGTCTATGGTTTGTTTATGGTATATGTTAGCAAAATTGCTACATGAATATTTTCTCTTTTTCGAGGATTAAATGATTTTTTTAAAAGAAAAAAATTTCGATGCAATAAAAATAGGTGGTGCTTAACTTTTGGCGGACTGTTTACATAAAATGTTTCTATAATTTATAGATGGACTGATTGTTTTTTTATCCCATCTGGTTGATTGGGAATGGGTGGGGTTCTTTCCTTAGCAGCATATGTTTTACTGTCAATTTTGAAATGTCAGATTGTGCAGATGAAGAATCTCTTTTTGTTTCTGTCTGTTTTGATGTCTGTTGTTTAGAAGAATCACTTGAAGTTTTGTTTCCTTCCTTTTTTGCAGACTTTTTTTATCTTTTTTTGCATCTGCTGCTGTTATTTCTTTGTTCATTGACATAGAATGTGTCAGGTTGTCTTCGTCATCTCCATCTGTTAATTCAGGTTGTTCATCAGTATCATCTCTTTTGTTATTTTCTGTAAGAGCTTGAATTTGTTGGCTTTCTTCAGTATTTGTATTTTCATCAACATTAGCTATTGTTGTTTCTTGTTGCTCATCTCTTTCTGTTTCAGAATTTTTTCCCATCTTCTTTGCCAACAAGGTAGGGCAGTCAATCATCTTATGACCATATTCATTGCATAGTCTGCATTTCCATTCATTTGGACAGTTTTTTATATTATGACCTTTCAGTTGACATTTGTTGCACAAGAACATGTCTGTATCTTTCATTTGACAAAAGTGACATATTCTTGCTGTGTATTGACCTATTGTAAGAAACCTTGGGAGTGGTTTGTCAAATTTTTTGCATATGACTACTCTGTCTCCTGTCCAGCAGTTGATAACCAAGTTATCAACCCTGAGTCTTTCTCTGTTTATAGTGAGAACCTCTATGTTTCTTTGTCTTAATTCTCTGTCAATTGACCATCATCTGCTGATAGTGAGATATTTTTTACCCGTAATGTTGTTGTTATGTACTCATCTTTTTGGTAATATGGGTTCTGGGAATGCAGAGGTACCGACTAGTTTCTTAATGTGATGCCTTCTGTAAGCAACAGCATTCTGTCTACCTCACTGTCTAGGTAGATTCTCCACATTTGTTTTATTCTTTGAATGCCTCTTACAAACTGTGGTTGTATCTCATGTTCAAGTGCTTTGTATATTTCTACGTGTGTTATCCAAAGTTCTTTAGGCGGAGTTTTGTTGCCAAAGAAGTCTGATTCTTTTATAAAGATAGGTTTTACTCCTTTTAGCTTTGGTTCAGGATCGCTGTAGGCCTGATAATTTACACTATGATGTTTGACAACATTGGAAAAAGATGGCGCCGAAGTATTGTCACTACCAACGGACTGAGACTTGTCAATTTCTGATTGTTTACCATCTGAATCTTGCTTGGTATTTTCATTTTACTGTTCTGGTATCATGTTTTGGTTGTTAGACATTGTTCTGATAACTTACTCTTCTATAACTAGATACTTTTTATGATTTTTTCGTCAGAGCTATTCACCACTAGACCGTAGTTAAAGGGCGATAATTCTCTCCTCAAGTTATCATAGTACTGTAATTTTAGAGGTTATATGATTCGTTAATTGAATGTATTAAACAAAAGAAACAAAAAATTGCACGCGTTATCGACGAAAGCGGGGAAAAAAAAAGTATCGTAAAGGGAGGAGGGATGGGGGCGTTGGTGGATAAAAGTCATATATCAAATCAATATAAACAGCAACATGACCAATCGAGGCGACAAAAAGACAAACAGCATTAACATAATAGAAAGACAGTAAATACAGTATGAGCACGGACCCCTCAATTAAAAATGTATTCATTTTCCATAATAAGTTTATTCACAGTATGCAGCTATCTTTGTTGGTCGGTTGTAGCATAGGCTCGCCCAATTTCAAAAGAGACCATCATAATGGAATCAATGTATGAAAATTTGGAAGGTGTATGAAAAATATTTGGTAGTTATACACTGTTCACGATAGGGACTCTATTTGTAGGCAACGAAAATCAAAGGACGATAAAAGAGGGACGAAAAAAAAACTAAAGACTAAGCAACATGAACCCCACCTAGGGGTGATCTCAGGTACTCCGGAAGGGTAAGCAGATCTTGCTCCACATGTGGCACCCGTCGTGTTGCTCATGTTAATACAAACCCGGTAAATAGTCTAATTTGGTAGGTCACATTCGTGAAAAGGGAAGGGTATTGTAGTTACGACATAAGGAACATATCCGATATCATCTGTGAAACGGTTATTCCATAACGGCCAACCAACTCGTGATGGCGTCCGTAAAATTTATAAGATATCAATAGCCATTTTCCTGACTTGATACAGGACATTTTAGGAAAAAATGGTGGGTTGAACCTGGTTTTGTAGCTAGCCAAACCTCCTGTTTTAAAGGCAATGTTAAATATAACACTAAAATGACAACATTATATAACTCAAAGTCTTCATATTTGCTTTGTTACTGTGAGACATATCAGTTTCAGATAATGGGCGCTTTACCGCAGTGTATACATTTGTACCTATGAATTATCGTACTTCTTCAGATTATATTATGGGTTTTGTAATATAGTTCAGATGAATTAAACCATAAAGGAAGACTGCTATTATCGGTTGCATTTGATATAAAAGGTTGGCAAGGAGTAGCAAAAACATTATTGTTGCTTTAACAAAATGCTTGTTGTTTGCAAAAACATTATTGTTGCTTTAACAAAATGCTTGTTGTTTGCAAAAACATTATTGTTGCTTTAACAAAATGCTTGTTGTTTGCAAAAATGTACGACAATGCCAGACTACACAGGGCAAGGATTGTAACCGAGTACAAAGAGTACAAATAGCAAGAAACCATTGACACTATCTTTTGTCCTTCCATGTCTCTAGACATGAACCCTATCGAACATGTCTTGGATGCCATTGGCAGAAATCTGAATCGCAGAGATCCACTTTTGCAAAATCTTAGCGATTTAAGAAGCGCAATTGTTGCTGAATGGAATAAATTTGTTCAACTAAAGTTCAGAAGGCTTGTACAGAGTATGAGACTCCGTGCTATGGAACTGTACCGGAAGAGAGGGTGTTAC